GGATTTAACCAACAATTCCTCTGTAAAAAAAAATAAACTGGAGCCGAAAATTTCGAATCGTCGCATATGGCGCTTGTGATACTCTGGCCGGAGATGACATCACAAAATTCAGGCCACATTACTTAGTGTCTCTCACTTGCTTCATAAAAAGTAAATAATTTATCGGTAGGGATTTGGTAGCGTCTGAAGGCTCATACGGTGTCTCCCCTCAGCACGGCAGTATGAGGGGCCTGATTTGGGGAGCTAACCTCGACGAAGGCGAGTTTTTCAAGTTCACTTTTAAGGAGGAACACCAAGCGGGGCTCGGGTAGGCGCGCCGGGGGATAATAATTTGACTTGATTTTGATACGGATAAAGGGGCATTAATAAGCGGTCGGTAAATGCTTTACATGAAACAGGGATAGGTTAGATTTGAGCGCGGGCTCATCCCAAACCGAAAACCACGCAACTGCAACCGGGAACCCGGGGTGGATACGCGGTTCTGTGGGCACGGGCCCGGCGCGAGCGACACTCAACGGCGCACAGTGGATCGAGTCAATTACAGGGGTCGGACATGAAATTTTTGACTAAAACTGCAAATTAAGGTGTTAATCTCGTCACATTTTACATTGCAAGGGGTGTTTCAATTAGAAAATTTCACGAGGAAACCAATGAAACCATTTTTAGAACCTCAAAATTTTGTATGAACGGAGTTATAAGCGTTTAAAGTTTTCAAATTTTGTCCGACCTCTCCTATTGACTCGATCCACTGTGCGGCGTAACGTCTCGGTCCCGCATCTTTTTACGGCAGGTGGATGTGGACGGAATCTTTTTTTTATCTTTTTATTTTTATAACCGACTGCCACTGTCGAGCACCTGCTGCAGGCTGCACGAGTATCGCTCGACGGGTAGACCTAACCTAACTTAATCTAACTTCGCTTGGGCAGTATCCGCCGTCGCCGGGTCTCCCCGAGAAATGGCCACGACAACCTTGAATTTTTTTTCCCCTTTGCCGATGGTTTCAGCTGTACTAATTAGCCCCCTGGCTAAGTGCCGCGCCGTTGTCAGACCACGTTGTCCCTCCGTGACGGATACTTCGGTCATCGAGGTGATCGCTCCAAATCTCCATTCTCCCCACAAAAAGGCGTAGTTTCATTTTGACCACATTTTGCAATTGAATCGGTCAGTTACAAAAGGGCTCAAGCGCCAAAAATGAGAATTTGAGAAAAACAGTAAAAAAATTTCAATCAGACCCACTCTGAATCTTTCAGTACAGAAAAATTCTCATGTGTGAAGGCGGCAATTTTGAGATTTGAATATGGTTGTCTCAGAAATTTTCGTGTGATTTGAGCCGAGTAAGAAGAAAAAAACGAAGTGGCGTTTGAGCCCTTTTGTAAATGACCAATTCAATTGGGATCTACAATTTTGAGTACAATTTTAATTTTAAATCCTTGCCTTCTAGGAACTGGAACCTCAAAAATCTTCATTTTCGGTGTTATTTACGTAAAATAAGTGGGTGCCAATTTTGAAACCACCTAGTGCGACAAAAAAAAAATTAAAAAAAAAATAAAAAAAAAGGTAATTAACTTTTGGTAACTGATCTTCATTCGTGCACACTTGAGGATAAGACACACAAATATCAAGCTGTTTGGCTGAGAAATAGGCGAATAAGGGTGAGAAAACTAAAAATAGTCATTTTTGCCAATCCTAACCTTGGGTGGGGGAGTACAGGGTGAAAATCTAACTCAAGAGTCAAATGAGTTAAGCCCTTCCATGAAAGCACCTGCCTTTATAATCCGGAACTAACATTTTTGGCTCATCTGTAAAAATCCTTATGTGCATAGAGAAGCTAATAGTACATACGTTGCTCCTAAACGGAACCAGAAATCATAGTTCCTAATTGCAAAATCCAGTCCATTCGGCGAAACTTGGCGTCTCCGATGGCGGGTGCCGCCTGATCCCATCCTACAAGGAAGGTGCGAATTCGAATCCGGATTATGCATGCTGGATCGCTGATTGCTGGTTCGGAGGATAAATCGACGGCTATCAGCAATTCGGCAGTTGGCTGCTCCACTGATTCGCTCACTCTCGCTTTTACACCACCGGGCACCGGTTTTCCCTCCGCCCTCCAGATTGTTTTTGAAGCAAATTAAGCTGCTCCTTAATTCGTTGTCTACCCGACATAAAGGCGTAACTACACTCTGCGATGAACCCTGTGTTCCATATGTTTCAATGCTTTTCCGGGCTCATCTCAACGTGTAGTTACGCCCTTATGCCAGTCAAGCGACGAATTGATGGAGGATCCGACTAGTCTCGCCTATGCAGGTGGAAAGATCCTGGCGAAAAACTCGAGAGCCAGGAATTTTCTCCACTTCATTTAAACGGAATTTTGCAATGGTCAGGTTCACTGTAGTAATAGACTCGTGTTTTGGTGGTTTAAGGTGGATCTTCATCACTGAGGAAAAACTATGGTTATAATTACCATGTTAGTGGTGTTCAATATGCACTCTTAACTAGTAGTGGCCATAACCAATAATTGTGATATTTTTACTGGAGCAATCGTACTTTTACAAGTGTGCGGTAGAAAAATTAACATTTAATGGTAAAAATATCTCTATTATTGGTTATGGCAACTACTAATTAAGAGTTCATATTGAACACCGCTAATATGGTAATTATAACCAAATTTTTTCTCAGTGCAGCTTTTGCGCGATGCATTCTGACTACGATCGATATATCTCGAATTTTAACCCCTAGGTGAATTATTTGGGGAATATGTAAATTTCAGTCTGCAGATAAACCTTTGAGGGATGTTCGTGCCGAAAATCATCCTCCAAAATCTAAAAACAAAGTCAAAAGTACTGTTTCCAACTAACCATCGATATCGATACATTTAAATTGGTCGCGAATTGAAAACAGTACTTTTGACTTTATTTCAAGATTTTGGAGGATCATTTTCGGCACGAACACTCTTCAATGATTTATCTACAAACTGAAATTTAGATTTTCCCTAAACATTTTTGCAAATTTTTCTGCGCATATTGCATTTTCACCAGGAAAAATTTGGCAACTTCTAACCGGAAATGTCACCAATATTTCTCCCAAACTCATACAAATATCAGACAAATTTTCAACAAAAATTATGCAGATTTATTTTCGTAAAAACAGAATTGTTTGAGTCAATTTTTCAACCTTGGAATAAAGTTTCGTCCCTTCGTGCGGGAAACTGACGAATTTTGTGAAAAATGCTTGAAAGTCCGCCTTTGGAAATTTTACACAATTTTTAATGTCCTAATAATGAGTTCGGTAGAAGATGTGTCTCATTGTGAATCCTACGTGTTCTCTTGCTGCGGTGATTTTGTCGCGTGATGAAACAATAGCGTTAATTAAACCGCAATTAAGCCATTAAAAACAAATCTGCTCTCAGATGCAGAAGGTAATGTCTGATTTGTCATCCAACCTCATCCATGCATACAACCAAAATCATGTGGTAAGGGGGGGGGCATAGAGAAAAAAGCGGCAATAGATCACGCACGAATTCACGGAACATTTGAACAAGATTGCAACCCGTTGCATTTTTAAAACTGGTGCGTGAAAGGGAAAAATTGCATGTTCTGTGCCCAGCTTTCCTCAGATTTCATCTACACAATGTTGCACAAAAATGAAACGGCGAACGGAAAAATTGAGTCAGTTGCGCTGCTAACTGAGTTTTGTTTTTGGTGATAAAATCCGAAAATTTAATTTTAAAAACATACAAAATTAAAAATATAAAATTAATTCGAAGGCATGGTTTCAGGTTCAATATTCCAAAATTAATAACCCCTCCGAAAAAACTGTGACTGGCCTTATCCATCAGGTAGTTTCTCTGGCTGATGAATGGTTTTGATTTTAGAGTGAACCGTGAAAAAATTTGGTTTGAATTTGCTTACTTTAAAACAATTTTTACCTATTTTGAAAAACTGAAGGAGCTCAATCGGGTTCTCCTCATGGCCGGATTTACTTACTTGCCGCCCATGGGCCACCTGTTTTTGCCGCCCCCTTCTCATTCGTTTTAAAAAATCAATAAAAACCATCAAGTAAACGTGTCGGAGGGGTGCATAAAACGCGTTTACTCCTGTTGGACACATTTTTTGCAAAAGTCCTGTCAGCACTACCAGCAGAGGTTCACAGAACTTTGCACGAAAGTTAAGTTTCGTAAACCTATCTCTGTGTGGACAAGGCCTTCCATTTGTATGAAATGAACGAAAAAATGATGCAAGAACAAACATAAATGCGATTCAATAATTTTAACTTCCGCGCCGCGCCGCGCTGACTGCACTGTTTTGGTGCAATGCGTGAAGTATTCAGATAGTCTTGTAGGCGCTATGCGTTTCACGCCGACCGCTGCTGACCGCACTGTGTTTGACGCAATGCGTGAAGTATTCATGCAGTCTTGTAGGTTCTACTATGTGTTACATGCCGACCGCCGCGCGGAGAGCTTCTCCTTTTCATCTCAAGTCCTCGTCATCATTGCTCTCTGCGCCGCCGCGCCGCTTCATGCCAAATTGCGAGTTTGGTTTCTTAACTCGACTAATTAAAGATGCTGTCTCTTGTATCACCGAAAGACGACAAAATTAGAAAGAACTTTACTCTCAGGAAATGAGAGATTTTGTTAATTTTTCTCGTTTGTAATTTTTTCTTTCTTAAACCGATGTTTTTTTATACTTACATTTAAAAAAATTCCAAAATTTGCCGCCATGTGGCCACCCCTTAAATCCGGCTCTGGTTCTCCTTGCATCACTCACATCAGTTTGGTACTTTGCTTTAAAAGCAGCCTCTATTCACTTGGCTTGTAAAGTCTGACGTTAAGGAAAGAACTTTCATCAATGTAATTGCCCTTCAACTACTTTATGTACTTTCTTTGAGTTTTACAATTTTTATCATCAGAAAACTCATTATCTACAAAAATATGAGAATAAAAATGATCGTTGATAACAAAACTTTCAATTTCAGAGGGAGGAAATTGAAATGAATGCTGAAGCTTTTTTAATCATGAAATTTTATTAAATTTTACAGTCAGCTTATACGAATGATGAACTTCAACGAAGAGTGTTGCTCCAACTCTACCAACGGAATTTAGGGCAATTTAGGGACGTGTCACGTATAATGGGCCGTCTTAATTTTAAATTTCTAAAATCTTCTGTACTACTATCATGCCCTCCAGAAAAACATAGTTGCCAGTATTTCATCCATTTCTCGATCTAACTTCGAATCATTAATGATTTTACTTGTTTTCGGGTTCATATTTTGCATTTCCAACGCACTTTTGATCTTGCTTGAATTGCGTCGCTCTAGATATGTAGCTTTTTTCGAGAGGCTAGAATCAGATTTTCTTTTTGAAAGAGAAGTGATCTCATTGGGAGTCTTGATATTCCTGCAATATTCTGTTCTTGAATCTCTGTTGGATCTTTCATACAAATTTCTACTTGCAGATTGTCCGTGGCTTTCTTTACCTTCATTGGAAGCTTCATTATCGAGAGTGGAAGTTAATTTTAGTGACCGTTCCTCTATATTTTCACGAGGGACGACTTTGCGGCCTAAACCCAAGGCTGCTAACACCTTTGGTACCCTCTCAAAGGAAACCTCATTTATACTGGCAACATCATAATATTCTTCATAATTGTTTGACTCCATTCCCGATACAGCTGAATCCGATGGTCGATCTTGAAGTACCCTCCAAATGTTGTCTTCTGCTTTCGAGATTGTGATGGAGGGAATTTTATACACGCATGGACTCTTAATGCTGCTTATATCTTCTGGTATTATTGATGGTGTGCATTTACTCTTCTCTATGTTCTGAGATTGCCTGCTATCAGTAAAGCCTGCATCTGTGACAAGCTTTTCTGATAAATTCAGGAAAGGAAATGTGTCTTTGAATAATATGTTACTGTCTTTGTTACTTTGCTGGGCAGAGTTTTCAGATGATAAAGGCAAAGGAATGGATTGTTTAAAGCTCATAGGCTTTTCACCTAGATTAATTCTCTCAGATTTATTTGAGAGTTTAAAGAGCGATACAGTATGTTTAGGACGCGTTACACTGTTGAATTCACTCATTACTGATTTGTCACATAAACCGTAAGAGGACGATTTGTCTGATTTTGATGAAATAGGTTTCGTGTTAAAAGTGTCAAACACTTGCGTAACTATTCCTCTATCTTCTGGAGGAAGAGATGGTACCCTTTCTAAAGCTACCACACACCTCTTGAGGGCTACATTTATCGGAATCTTGATATCACAGAAATCACTCCCATAAAATTCTGTTAGTGTTTCTCTGGCTGGCCTTTCTCGTAAATGTCTGCTTGAAGGAGATTGTACATTATGTACATGCGAAGTAGAGGAAATTCTTTCAAAATTTGAAATTAATTTTGATGACTGTTTCTTTATGTTTTCACTAGGGAGGACCTTCTTGCCTAAAACAGAGGTTTCTAGCAATGTCTGTACCTTTAAAGAAGAAAATTCGTTTTTATTGGCAGCATCAAATCTCGTAAAAGTATTTGATTCTTTTTCAGGAAACCCTAAAAATTCTTCCATGGCTAGTGCTGCTTGGTCCAATGGTCTATCCTGAATTACCTTCCAGATGTTGCCGTCTGCTTTTGAGATTTTGATGGAGGGAATTTTATACATAAAGGCACTCTCCAATGAACCTCCACCTTCATCGTTTGGCATTTTTGATGGTGTTTTTTCTACGTGTCTGTGTTGAGACTGCCTGTTTTCATTGAGGCCTGCATGAGTGACTGACCCTTCTGATAAATTTAGAGATGAGGAAATTTTCTTGAATATCATTTTTAAGTCTCTATTACCTAGCCTGCAACTTTTGACTGAGTATTCAGATGATAAAGGAAAAGTTTCACTTTTTTTAGAGCTTACTGGACTTTTATTAAGATGAGTATTTTCGTGTGTATTCGAGAGTTTAATACTTAGTTTTGTATTCTTAGAACGTTTTATACCATTGGATCTAGTGACAGCACGTGCGCCAATGGTACCGTCATGAGTAATCGACTCTCCTACTTTTGATTTGTTGGTAAACTTGTGGAATTTTTGAACGAGTGAGCCTTTGCCTTTTAGAGGGCGAGATGATGTCCTCTCTGAACATATCACACATTTCTTGAGAATTGCTCCAATTTGATTCTTGTAGTTGAAAAAAGCATTCCTATAAAATTCATTTAGTATGTCTCTGGCTGGTCTTTCTCGTAAATATCTGCTTAAAGGAAACCGTTCATGCGAAGTAGAGGAAATGGTACCAAAATTTGAAATTAATTTTGATGAACATTTCGCTCTGTTTTCGCAAAGTAGGACCTTCTTGTCTAACACCGAGGCCTCTAATGCCGGTACCTTTACAGGCAAAAATTCTTTTACACTGCCAACATCAAACCCCTTGAAATTATTAAATGTTTTCTTAGGAAACGGGAGAAAATGTTGCACTTTCTTTTCGGTTTGATCTAATAACTGAAAAACTATCTTCCAACGGCTGTTGTCCACCTTTGACACTTTTAAGGAAGGAATTTTACGTATGAATCCACTTTTTTTGCTGATTCTATGTTTCGTTATTATTGATTTTGTATATGCTTATTTCTTCCTATCTTTTGCGGTTCTGTTTTCATTTGAATTTGGATATGTGCAACTAGATATTATGTTAAATTCGGATGAAAGCATTTCTTGAATAATATTTTAATGCCTTTACTTACTTTCGGAGAGATCAGTCGCACAACGAAGGAAAAGCTCTGTATTTTTCAAAGTTTCTGGGCTTTTATTCAAATTAAAGTCCTGTTTGATACAAAAGTTCAACACGTGCTGCAGTAAGTTTAGGCTGTTTCTTACTGATACATACCAATCTCTGATTTATTGGTTGAATTATTGCAAGTCACTCATCTGCTACTTCGATACGACGGGTTTTCTCTTTTTTTGTGTTTTTGAGGGAGCCATATTGTCCTTTTTAAGATATGAAACATTTCTTGAGCATTATACTTCTTTTGAAATCTTGATAATATAGATGATCTCTCACGTGACTAAAAAGAGAAGAATAAAAATCACGTTAGTTTGGAATTCCACGTTAGTTCGGAAAAAGTTTACAATCATTATCGGCCCAACATTTGTCAGCAAAAATAACTGACTATTCTCTCATAGCAGTGTTATTCCATAGGACAGGTGTATTATTTGAAATAGAAACATAATAATAACTTCATATTATGAGACCATAAAAAAATGTAGTTTAAAATATTCGGAGGAAATTTGAAAACATCTCCCTTTTAATTTGTGGATCAACATTTCCAGCTTCGATGGGGTAGTAAAAAGTGGAAAAATTCTGGAAAAAGAACCGTTTAATTTCCAAAGCAAAGCATATCTACCTAATTTGTGAAATATTTTTTCACATAATCGTTTCGAACTTTAGAATGACTCTGGAATACACACAATGAATCAAAACATTACAGAATTAGACCAAACGACTGAACATTCTGTGTGCTGAGACTGGAGAGTAAAGCACTAATATAACAAAACAAGCTACTAAAATGTTATCAATCGTCAATGAATAATGGGGCTATCGGCCATAATAGCCTTTTCGGGCAGTTCCATGAGATGTGATTGCATAAGTGATGGTTTACGAATGAATCAAGATTTTCATTAGGAGGTCATGCACAAGCAAACCACGAATTTCTGAGCTTTGCGCTTTGTGAGTTCATCGTATGCCAATTCGGATGTTTGCCACGTTTTAATGCGGGAATGTGTGTCAGATTTTCCACTTGTAGAATTTAGATACAGCATTTAGCAATAAAAAACATGCATTTTTGTGTACTGTGTTCCGGTAATTTTTGTATAGTTTACCTTTATCTGCTTAACAAATGTACTTTGGAAGAAAGTTATGCATAGTTTTCTTTAGAATTTTAAATCAAATTAAAATTGTCTAAAAAATTGGAAAACAAACATTTATTACTTTCTGTATCAAAGAAAATTTGGCAACGCACCTGAAGGCTCATACGATATTTTTCCGTAGCATGTCAGCTTGGCTTAGGCAGTTTTCGATTATTTTACTGAAGCTTCTATCCAGCAGGTCTTTAAATTACGTAACGCACTTTTTCGGCATTTTTGACTTCCCTTTTGCTTTTGTAACGCTTTTGTGACGTATAGGTCCCTATTTTTTAACACGTAAAAACATAATGGCGTAACGCTCTCTTCGGCCCCCTCCTCTTGCCTCCCTCTTGCCAATTGTAACGCATTCGCATCCTTACATTCATCACACATCATATTCATCATCACATTCATTTGTGAAAATATTTATAAAGAGGTTGGTAAGATTTGTATTTTTTATGTCTTCTAGATTTTTATTTCAATTTTATTATTTGGAGGATAGGGGACTTTGGCGGCTGGGGGTCGCAGAGAACCAAAGAGCGCTATAAAAGCGGCTTTACACATACATACATTTTATTAAAATTTTTAGAAGATAATACACTAAGATAGCCCGAATAATTTAACTAGAAAAAACACCAAACGATGGGTAAACAAGGCTAAAAACATGTTGCCATGTTGTTGTGATTTTTTAGCCTTGTTTACCCATCGTTTTGTGTTTTTCTAGTCAAATTTTTTAGTTCAATTTAACTGATAATTTACAACAGAACAGGGCAAAACGGATAGAATATCTGGGAGAAGCATCGATTTCGCGGAATCCCTCTGCCGTGATCTCTCGTCGGCTGAAGACGCAGGGGCGGTGAGTCGACCTGGTGGCTCGTGTCGCGTGCGAGACAATTAGGCGTTTTTCACGGAGGCATTTAGGACAGTGCTCACGCAATGCCCCTTGACTCCCACAGGAAGAGAAGCAGTCGCAATGTCAGACAAAGGATGCACAAGTGTGCCAGGAGCGTGATCGGAGCACATCCCGAATTTTGGAGCTAATTAGGACACCGTCGTGACGCTGCGGGCTGGATTGACAGCAGGAGCGGTGGCGCAGGCGGTTTTTGCTTTAAAAATCATTCGATGCTGTGACGACTATTCCAGTCCCACTCCATGCTTAATCTGGAAGAGAATAATCAGATGATTTATCTGCTAATTTCATTAATTTAAGGAGAAATAAGATCTTGAGCCTCTAAGTATACGTGCTGTAGCACGGCTCGATCTCCTTTTTTTGAATTTTTCATTTTTAGCCATGTTATTGCGAAAAATCTGCAAATCTGTTTTTGCCTATCTTCAGCAAGAAATTTTTTTTCACGAAACACAAAACAGAGTACTTTATCGAGATACAAATTTGTCAAAATGCATATTGAAACAATGATCAAAGATGCTGAGGGGGATCAATGGAAAATTATCAAAACATTGAAGAAAAAAAAAGGGGGGGGGGGAATGCACCATTCAGACCGAAGTTGAGTGATGAGAATCAGTTAATTTTTTATCCTTTAAAATGCGTGGTCTAGTAAACATTTTATTCCTTTATTTCATTAAAATTGTATAATTGATATTTCGTTCAGGACTTGCTTTCCAAAGTAAACCACCCGTTGTAAGAATCATTTTCTGTGTAATATTTTAAAAAGAAAACGGAAGGTGATTTTTTTTTCTTCTAAGTTGAGATATTGTCTAGCGACTCATTGGAGGCGGCCAAGTACACTTTTTCCAAAATTGAGTCATTTTTGCCGGAAACTCGAATCGTCCGCCTCATTACCAGCTGATGCAGTTCGAAACGCTATTAAAATCAAATTATTCTTCTCATCTTGCGACCCGAGAGAAAGTAACAGTCAAAAGACGCTCTCCGAACCTTCATTTTCAATATCGGGCCGAAAGTGAAAATAATGAGGAAACACTTTCCAACGCGAGCGCAAAACGGAGCATCCCCCGAAAATTGGGATCATGCCCATGAAAAGGATCAAAACAGGCGCCTGATTGATAGCGTGGAGCAGACGTTCAAGAACCCGTTGTTCACCTGATAAACGCACCGGTGGTTGGTGTCGAAACGAGGGCAGCGGATCCTTCTGAAACAAAAGGAAACGGCGCATCTTCAGGCCGCATCCCCGAGGATCAATATGCGAGACAAAGGTAAACAAAAAACCACCCCGCAACCTATAAAATTGGAAACGCTACGTCTAACAGGACCCTAGCACCCGGTATCGGGGTACAGTTAAAAGCTAATTTATCGGAAAACGTGTTTTTATTAATATTTATTTGTGTTTAATTTTTGTTTCTTTAAATTCCCGAGAGAGAGAGAGAGGGGAGCTGTTATTGTTCTTGGGGTTCAAACACGGTCGGGGCGTCATCTGGGAAGCAGCCACCCCCGCCCCGAATCAGGATCCCCCCCTCGTGGAGCATCGTCTGTGACACGCGCCCATCCTAGAATATATTACCTCATAGACAGTTTTATTCCCCCTCCCACTCGGAACCGGTCGTTCTTCTACCCCTAGGCTGCCCTCGGGGTGGAGGGTGGTAGCCTACCGCCGGCCTTCGAATTTTTCACTTATTTACAGCTGCTCTGGTCAAGATTTCCCGACTGCTGAGGGGGAAGAACTCACTGATTGCGTTTGTCTGGCCGAGCGGTTTGGTCTCGCAAGCTGATGGGGAACCTCGATTGAGTGCACGTGTTTTCATTTTCGCAATATGGATTTGAAGATGAGCCATAGAGCAGTTATTACAGTTATATAGCAGTAGTGTTGCAGTTTATTTTTATTTACAAATATTTTTTTTGCTATACTACTATTTAGTAGATGAGTAAAATGACATACTATCAATTTTATTAGATTTGGACTATTAAGATTTCTATTTTTGATATCTTATTTTATTCTAGCGTATTCATAGTCAGTCCGTCAGCAGCTCATTTCCTCTTGAAGCAATAAGCTCCATGTTAGAGTGGGCCAAAAAAAATCCTTGGGAATTTTTGCGAGTAGTAGAGATATTTTTTAGGGTAAAAAAGATTGACTTACATTCAAATTGCAAAAAGAGTCTTTTATTCTCTGAGGTTTCAAATCGGGCATATCCATTTTCGTCTCCTCTAACTTCACCATTTTTTAGTCGATTATACCTTGTAATTTTTCATTAACGGTATATTTGCGTAACGGCTGGCAAAAAAACTTTCATTCAACACCAAATGAGGCTTAATCCCAAAATTTAGCTCAAGCGGAGCACTTTTTAAGGTTCCAAAATGGATTAAAATACGTAAGAATTCAATTTACTGAAAATTGCAAGCTGTCGGAAAATGTTGATTTTCTCAACCGCTTTCACTTCCTAAGCACCGTATAGTGTCCAACACATTTTTTTGGCCCATGAAAAAGCCTAAAGAGTAATTACTTTGATATCCTTAGGTTCCGGAATTCGATTATCAACTTGAGCTGAAACCGCAAGAACAATCAATCGCTCACTCAACAGTACTCACTGCAAACCGTGTTTTTCGCCGATCGAAAAGGCACGGGAAACACCAAGGTTTGCTGCCGAAAGTCTGAGACTTTGTCCCCAGACACAACATTTTGGACGCTTTCACGTGATTAGGACAGTCCCTTCAAAAAAGTTTTTACAAATCCTCTCCCGACAACTTTGCCGCATTTGCAACCATAACGGTTCGCACTCATTGCAAATCTCGTTTTCCGTCAATTGAGGTTACACGTAAAGCACGAATGTGTGTCACTAAAAACTTGATGTAGAAATCTCTGGTGCGGGTTCAGGATGAGCGTTTTTTTTAAAATAACAAGGCCTCAATGCGTCAAGCAAGTTGCATTTGTCGGTACGCCTACTTTTCTAAAGCAGCGTTAAAGTCTCTGAGGTTATTCATGTACTTTGCCGTTTTGGCGACGATCTCTCGTCTAGTTAAGTATGATCATTATTTTTAACTAATCATGTCTCCATGCGTCTTAAGCAACTCGTGTTTGTCGGCATGTCGGTATACCTACTTCTCTGTGCCGCGTTAAAATATCTAAAGTGACTCCTGCATTTTGCTGACTTGGGTATCCTTCGTGAGGTTCAGCATGATGCAATTTTCAAATAATTATGTCTCCATTTGTCAAACAACTCCTCTTCATCGGCGAGCCTTCTTCTCTGCGCAGTGTTAAAATCTCTGCTGTGAGTCCTGCTTTTGGGTCCAATTTTAAAAATCTTCGGTTTAAATTAATGCTGTTAGTACACTGAATTAAAAGGTACAATTAGTTTTTTTTTCTATTATTATTGATTTTTGAGAAAATTAACAGGATACTTTAAAAGATTACCGTCGAATATTTTCAAGAAATGGCTCTAGTTTTAGACACTAGAATCAATACTTTACGTTGCCTGTTAAACAGCTCGTTATCATAACCTAACCTAACCTAACCTAACCTAATCTTCCATTTATCGAGGTGGAGCAACTTTGTACGTGGTAAAGTTGCTGCAAAAAAGGGGTTGTACTTACTTTTCGAGGGAAAAGCGTGCTAATCCCACATGATTCTAGAGGTGAAGTAATAAATAAAGCAATGGCGAGGCGTGAATAATCGATTATCGATATTTCTCCATTTGAATCTATGGTAAAAAATCGATTATTAAGGTGTTCGTTGCAAACACCCTGTTTATCGATCATTTTCCTTAGGTCTAAATGGCAGATCAATCGATATATCGCAAAGCACACCACACCACTGAAATGAAGCACGACGAAGAGGATATAATATCTACCGATGGGCTCGCAATGTAACAGATATCATAAAACGTACAATGTACCATATCGGTTCAATCAAATCCGAAGCTGATGGTGTGATTCTCAGGATAGATAACTATTCGAGCTTCTGGGTTTGTTTGTTGTCTCTCTGGTGAATTGAAGGCGAATTTCAAGTGGACGATATCCTGTTTAAGTATACATTTATCCTCTCTCCGTTGACTTAGAAAAGTTTATGGAGCGGGATTCATGGTGTTTTTTTAATACATAACTTTTCGCACTCCTTGGTAAGTATGTT